CAGGGGAGAACAAAATCCATTGGTGTTCAAGTCCCGTGGTGTATAATGGTGTAGTAAAGGGGTGTCCCTCATATGAAGTGGCAGAACCAAGGTTTCCCTTTTGGAATTATATATGTGTGTGTCATAAATGGCTGAATCTGTGAGTACCGAATCCATGGATACAGACGGTTGACTATATTTGCAAAGTGTCCCTAGTGCCACCTTTCTTGAACGACAGTGTGTGGCACCACTGTTTCTGAGAGGGAGCTGGCAGGGCTGTGGCTTCCCCTTTCCACTTGCCATCTGGTAAAATCCTCCTCTTTCCCATTCTTTACCCCTCCCTCTCCCTTATATTTGACCTCAAAGAAATATCCTCTCAAAATTGAGCAAATGTGATGTTTGTGTGACAGACTTTGCCGCTCTTGGTTTGCAGGCAGCCCTGGTCAGGAGTCACTTTTTGCAGGCCTTTTTGCCCTGTTCGCAGAGCTTCCTGCTGCCAAGTATCAGGAGCGAGGGCCAAAGTCTACCTCCAAGGGCAGACTCAAATTAGTCATAGAATCATAGAATCATAGAATCAAAGAGTTGGAAGAGACCTCATGGGCCATCCAGTCCAACCCCCTGCCAAGAAGCAGGAATATTGCATTCAAATCACCCCTGACAGATGGCCATCCAGACTCTGTTAAAAGCTTCCAAAGAAGGAGCCTCCACCACACTCCGAGGCAGAGAGTTCCACTGCTGAACAGGTCTCCTTACAGTCAGGAAGTTCTTCCTAATGTTCAGATGGAATCTCCTCTCTTGTAGTTTGAAGCCATTGTTCCGCTCCTAGTCTCCAAGGAAGCAGAAAACAAGCTTGCTCCCTCCTCCCTGTGGCTTCCTCTCACATATTTATACATGGCTATCATATCTCCTCTCAGCCTTCTCTTCTTCAGGCTAAACATGTCCAGCTCCTTAAGCCGTTCCTCATAGGACTTGTTCTCTAGACCCTTGATCATTTTAGTCGCCCAATTTGTTAAAATTGTTCTTCATTTTAATTGTTGCATTGTTTTTAAGCCTTTTTTTGTACTGCCAACAAGATATGTGCAGTGTGCATAGGAAAAGCAGAATAGAGGGGAAGCATTACTTCCTTAGATCTAGACACTATGCTCCTATTGATGCAGGCCAAAATCCCATTGGCTTTTTTTGCCGCCACATCACATTGTTGGCTCATGTTTAACTTGTTGTCCACGAGGACTCCAAGATCTTTTTCACACTTACTGCTCTCGAGCCAGGCACTCCCATTCTGTATCTTTGCATTTCGTTTTTTCTGCCTAAGTGGAGTATCTTGCATTTGTCACTGTTGAACTTCATTTTGTTAGTTTTGGCCCATCTCTCTAATCTGTCAAGATCGTTTTGAATTCTGCTCCTGTCCTCTGGAGTATTGGCTATCCTTCCCAATTTGGTGTCGTCTGCAAACTTGATGATCATGCCTTCTAGCCCTTCATCTAAGTCATTAATAAAGATGTTGAACAGGACCGGGCCCAGGACGGAACCCTGCGGCACTCCACTTGTCACTTCTTTCCAAGATGAAGAGGAAGCATTAGTGAGCACTCTCTGTGTTCGTCCACTTAACCAATTACAGATCCACCTCACCGTAGTTTTGCCTAGCCCACATTGGACTAGTTTCCTTGCCAGAAGGTCATGGGGGACCTTGTCGAAGGCCTTACTGAAATCCAGGTAGGCCTTACTGAAATCCAGTCCTGCTCTGCTAAAAATGGGAGCAGGATCCAATGGCCAGGAGGTCTGTTAATCTGGGAAATTGGTCTGCAAAGGGAGAGACTGGGGCCGCCACCTAAAATGTAGAACAGGCATGGGCAGACTTCAGGCCTCCAGATGTTTTGGACTTCAACTCCCACCATTCCTAACACAATGAGAGAACTTGGTAACATGACAACTGGAGCAGAGTGCAATATGACCTGACATTATGTGATAGACAAATGTGACTGCATATATTATCGTTTGGTTTTTGAATTGCTTATTTTATAATATTTATATTTATTATTTATGTATTTGGTCTGTGGTTTGTATGGTTTTAAGATGTTGTAAGCCACTTCAGAGGGAGAAAAACAGGGTATAAATAAAGATTATTATTATTATTATTATTATTATTATTATTATTATTATTAGGTTAGCAGAGCTAACCTTAAGAAATGGGGCTACAAAGTGGAATCCACGAAATGCGAGCGCAGAGATCAAATGACAGATCACTTACTACAATGTAACCTAAGCCTTGCGTCATACACAATGGAGGACCTTCTCACAGTGACACCAGAGGCACTCCAAGTGGCCAGTTTCTGGTCAAAGGACATTTAGCGTAGTGCCAAGTTCTTTTTAAACTTTGTATTTTTAAATGCATTTTAATTGTACCCTCAAATTGCTTCTGACACAATAAATAAATACATTATTATTATTCCTAAAAGTAGGCTGTTAGGAATTGAGGGAGTTGAAGTCCAAACCACCTGGAGGGCCGAAGTTTTCCATGCCTGTTCTAAGGGCACTTATTGGCAGAGAAGGCCAGAGGTCTTTCAAAATAACAGTTCCCATGAGTCTGCTCCATCACAGAGTGGTGCCAGAGACTGCATTATTTCAAGACGAATTAAGACTGTTTTACACCACTTCCAACTGAGCTCAATCAATGCTATGCAAATGCTGGGAGCTGTAGTAGTTCCATCTACATCACTGTTTGTCAACCTGGGGGTCGGGACCCCTGGAGGGGTCGCGAGGGGGTTTCAGAGGTGTCACCAAAGACCATCAAGAAATATATATTATGTTTTTGGCAGAGAATGCTGAAGATCCCTCCACCTGTCCTTCTCTTCCTTTTTGGAAGCAGATGATGAATCCTCCTGCCAAAAGCCCTTCTCAGAGGTGGCTGCCAAGGTAGTGGAAATGCTCCCAGTGTAGTACTACCAGCACTGGGTCCCAGCTATCATACTTTTGCCCAAGTTTGGTTGAATTCCATCAGTTGGTGGAGTTCAGAATGTTCTTTGATCGTAGGTGAACTATAAATCCCAGCAACTTCAGCTCCCAAATGACAAAATCAATCTCCCCACCACCACCACACACCAAATTTTGGGCGTATTGGGTATTTGTGCCAAATTTGGTCCAACTAACGAAAATATACCCTGCATATTTATTTAGATGACGATTCATAACTGTAGCAAAATTATAGTTATGAAGTAGCAACGAAAATGTTATGGTTAGGGCCCGTAGCCAGGATTTTGATTCGGGGGTGGGCTGAGTCTGAGTGAAAGAGGGTCTAGCCTAGCAAACCTTTTGTATCATTACCCCAATACCCCCATGCATGCATATGGGATATATTGAGAATGGTGGTCAGATCATGATATGAATAAACATAACAGTTTAAATAATGCACCAGTCAGGCCTTCTCGCTCAAGCCCCTCAAGCTACATGCCTGGTTGGGGGTCACCACCACATGAGGGGACTGTATTAAGGGCTGAAGTTTGCCCATGCTTGCCCCAGAGCCATGGCGGTGGAAGTGTTGCGGGGCGAAGTGCCTTGCAATGCAGGGCGCCAGGCTCTTGGGTGCGGAGGCGGGAGAGCTCCTCCTGCAGGGCGCCTTTAAGGCCCCCTCCTCGCCCATCAGGCGCCAATGGAGTTCCCGCGCAGCCCTCTCTCTGCCCGGCCAGGCTCGGCTCTTTCCCTTTCGGGAACCGGCATGGAGATGGGTGGGAGAACTCTCCACGAGCGTGCGGGCGGACTTCGCCTTGCCCGCCTCGGTCACGGGGCTTCCTCTGCCTCTCAAAACAAGACTGGACGTTTTGCAGAAGACGAGAGAAAGAAATGCCCCCTTGGTGAAGAAATGGGTTACGGAGGGGGAAAGAGAGGCGAGGTATGCCTAGAGTGGCCTCAAGCCGCATTCAGTCAAGGGTGGAGACGCGCGCTTCCTCTCCCACTGGAAGAAGAGGAAGAAGAGTCCTCCTCCTCCGCCCTTCCCTTGAGGGGGCGGGGCCTCGCCTCCCGAGCCCGACGTGCGACGCGGGGCGGGGCCGTGCTGCGCGGTGACGTCACGCGTTGCGCGGTGAGGTCAGTGCGGCGCCGTTGCTGGTCCCGCTGCCCGTCGCTGTGTCTGCCCCGGTCGGCTCGCCCTGGTCCTCGGCCCTTCCCTCCGAGGGCGCGCGGTGCTGCTGCCTCCTCCTCCTCCTCGCCGGGGGCCTTGCAGCGGGGAGGCTCGGGCGGCGGCGTGGCCTGTTCCGGCTCTTCGCGCGGCCTCAGGTAAGTCCGAGTTGGGCCGGGCCGGGAGAGGCTGCGGGGGTTGGTATTCTCCTTGATGAGTTACGCTGCCTTGCCAGCGTAACCCGCATTGCGTAATGTGACCGCTGCGTCAGGCGGATTACGTAGTTTGCGCCGAGGCCTATTGCGCAAAGGCTCTTACGCGAACCTTCCCAGTGTGCGCGGCTGGGAATTACCGCCGTGCGCCCTTCTCGTTCGCTATTTACGCACCGGAGGTTAAGTCCTCCCTCCGGCGCAGGGGGTGGCGGCTCCTCGTCTGACGCGCTTACGCCGCTTGCGGAAGGCTGAGGGTGGCTGCGGAGTTGGCGTAAGGGCGCCTCGGCCGTTCGCTCTCCGTAGGGTAGGCGGTCGTCGTAAGCCAGGCTTGTCCGTCCTGGGGCGCGTGCCGTTACGGAGCCAAGTTGTGGAGGAGGGCGCGTGCGGCCCAGCGTGCGCGAGGGCAGCGCGAGGCTTTCCTAGGAGTCCTGGGGGGGGGGGGGCGAGGGAGCGAGCGGGTGGCGCAGTGAACGGGCCTGGGCGGGGCGGGGCGCGCGCTGATGGTACTTCCTGCCGCCGCCATTTTGTCATCCAGCAGGAGGGGGAAGCGCCGGGGAGGGAGATAGCGGCAGCGGCTCCGGGCCGAAGGGCGGCTGTGGAGCTGCTTTCTAAGGCCGCGGGACCCAGGGAGGACTGGCCGGCCGGGCCCTCCCTCGCTCCCCGTCTCCCTCGCTCGAAGGAGCGCAGACCCGCCTCTCCGCCCAGAGGCTGCGGTTCCCGTAGGCCTGGCCCAGCCKCCGGCCCTATCCCCAGTCAGGTTTCTCAGGGCCAGGCCTGAGCTTTGCCTTCAGTGACTCTTCGCGAGCGGAGGTCGCGCCTGATTTTTGTGCTCAAACTGGTATCCCACTGCGTTTTTTAAAAAAGCTTCCAGGGTGGATCATGTTTTGTGAAGCCGGTCAGGGAGACTGAAGGAAGTCACTCTTATCCCGCCTGGGAAGGCGGCAGCCACCAACTGTAGAAAGGCAGCCGGTCGTTTGATGAAGTGTCCATTGTAAGCACCAGCCATCCACAGTTCATCTCTTTTTAGCCCGTGGGTGCGTCTACACTGTTAAATTAATGCACTTCATCACCATTTGTAACTGCCATGGCTCAATGGCACGGAGGGGTCGTTTGACAGAGAATGGTAAAGACCTTGTAACACTACAGTTCCCATGTCAAACTGCATTATTTCTACAGGGTAGAGGTGCATCCTATCTCTTGACTGTCCATCACATGTAGCTGCACTTTCTCACCTTTCCTTCTGCAGACTACAAAGTTACTTGGCAATCATAATACAAACTAGAGTAAACCTAACACACTGAGCATTTGGTGTATATTTTGTTTTGGGGTGTTTGCTTGTTTTTGCAGCCTAAAGGCACAAAAACAAACTCGAGCTGAAGAGTTGACGTACTGTTGCCGAAGCATTGGTAGTGTGTTCTTTCATTTGCTACAAGAGACACAAAACTTAGTACAAAAGCACCTCCCGGTTGTATAAAAGGATATTAAACATCCAATAAACCAGGTCATACATAATATCATAATATTTATTGTGTTAAAATTGATGGTCAGTTTTTAGTATTTTGCTTAACCCAAGGGCTTGTCATATTTGTAATAAAGTTTATAGTCACTTAGGATAACAAATCAACTTAGTAGTTCACTTATCCAAAGTATTTATAATTAAAGGTAGATCACTTAGTGCAAAGGTTACAGACTTCTTTAGGGTCAAAACAATGCCTCAACTTGAAAATAATAGAGTTTCCTTAGTAGTAAATTGGTTAGATTTGAAAACAATGTGTTGTCTACCAATTTAAAAACTAAATATTGATACAGAGTATAACATACAATATTGAGCTATGCAAATGGATTTCAGTGGTTATAGGCTTGTAGTAATCTAATTTCTAGAGTTTTTTCTTGCCAAGCTGGAAATCTAGTAAGCTAGTAATTGACTTTTTAGCACTGTCACATTTAGATAATATTGTATTTAGAGGGCATGTGACATTGCTTTAGGAAAGTGGCAAATGGGGAAAAAAGTAATCTTAATGAATTTTCTCTGGTGCCACAATTGCTACAAACACAATTTGTAGGAGGTTGCATTCTGATACATTTTCGAAACAGGCACCTATCCTGATAATAGGGCTACCCAGCGGATATATAATGCTTTCTATTTCCTCCTATGATAAATTATAGTAGCAAAAGTGGTGAATCAATTTTGATGGGATGATCAAATTATTTTGCTACTGTCAGTGGCATCTACAAACCCTGTGTGAGTTATATTGGAAGAGCAATAGTTGCAGGTTAATTCACTGATGCAAGGGAAACTGCTACTCATATGTAATTTAAGGTGCAAAAGGGAATTGCCTACTTCTATTAAAAACTTTGGGTGCATCTACACTGTGAATTAATGTAGTTTGATATCACTTGGGAGTTCTAGTTGTAAAAATTTATTTACCCTTCTCTGACAAAGAGTGCTGGTGCCTCAGTAAACCACAGTTTCCAGGATTCCAAAGCACTTAGTCACTGCAGTTGAAGTGATGGTGAGCTGCATTAATTCTACAGTGTAGATGCTTTGTTTTAGAACATGACCCATCATCTTTGTGTTTGTGACACATTCAAGTTGTCATCCGGATTTTGTGCAACCAGGAAAATGTAAAATTACAACAATACTACAGAGCCATGCTTAAAGTTACTGTGCAAAGTTGTTTTTTTAATAAATTGAAATGTCCATTTTCACTGTGGTGTTGATCTAGCTGTAAACTTGGTTAAGATAGTACTTGCCCTAATGTTCAGATCTGTAATCTTTCCTACAGAAGTGTGGGAGGAATATATGCTACTTTGCATCTGCATTTTGCTTTGTGTACATGTTTTGAATTTGGGACATGTTGCATGTTTTCAAATACATGACAAACCATATGTAGCTTTCACACACTGCAGTATATAGCTGGTTAATTAGTACTTTCATGTAGGCAAGCTATAACATGTGAAGCACACTGTGTATTCTTTTCTTTAGGTGCATAATATGGTTCACATTTACAAACATTTCTTTTTAGACACTATGTTTCTATCTGAAAATTAGGGTAATAGTTTTACTACTTAAAATTGACTGACTGTATAATATACATTATTCTTCATTTGTTTTTTCAAGTACAACGGGCGTGCTAGTGGTATCGTTTGGATTGGTGTAGATTCTGTATCAGTTAAATCACCACTTCTTTGTTTCTCAGAATTAGAAGAAATTAGAAGAAATATATATTAGAAGGAAAAAAATAAGTGTATAGAATATTATTTTGTATGCAAGTGATCTGATGCTGCAGTCAGAGTTGTCTGCTTTATTTATTTTGTGTCAAAAGCATTGCATAAATAAATTAGTATAAAACCGATAAAATAGAGGAAACACAAGCAGCTAAATAATTTTAGACCAAAAACGGGCAACAGGCAGGACATTGTGGGCAATCATACTTATGCTGAGTTGTTTGTTCTGCTCCACAGTCACACAAGGTGGAGGATTCTTCTAGGTAGCGCCATTTAGCCAGTTTGTCTTTTGATCTCCCAACACTACTTCTCAGTCAGTTCAGGGACTTCTAAGTTGCCCGTTCTTGATTTGCCCCTGGAGGCAGACCCTTGCAGGGGGCTATCCAGTTGAGATTTCCTGGTTTAGCTGCCCAGGGGGATACTCTTGCTGTTGCTGGGGGGAACATTAAGAAGAGTGGTGGTTCTCATGAAACTTTCTCTTGATTTGAGTCTTTTGGGAGGAGCCTGATATCTATGCAGTGGATGGCTTTCATAGTGTTCAACCGTATTTCTCTTTGTGCTAAGTTGCACATTGCTTGCATAAAACACAGAACTTTCATTGATTGGAAGCGGTTTCTAACAAATAGTACTTTTCTGTTATAAGAAGCATGTTTTGCTGCATCCCTAGGAGTCAGAGTCAGCAAAACAGAGCAAGCCTACTTTGAGAAAGTGTTAAGCACTCCTGTTTTGTTTTTTGTTTTTGGTAGGAACAGTTTTGCCTGATAACTTTGGGTGTATTTACACTGTAGAATGAATGCAGATTGACATTACTTTAATTGCCATGGCTCCAATGATATGGAATCCCTGGAGTCGTAGTTTGATGAGGCCAGCATAGCTTAGCAGAAAAGGCTGAAGATATTGTAAAATAATGACTCCTAGGTTCCATTTGATTGAGCAATGACTGTTCACATAATGTTAAACTGATAAATTCACAGTGTAGATGGCTTCAAGAGTTTGATTTTTTCCCCTTAATGTGTTGGAGTTGACTAGATTTTTATGCACATTATATTGCTTTTCCATCTCATCTTTTTCTCAGAATACATGGTCAAACAGCCTTTCTTAGCCTTACTGGCATGCCTGCCGTGGTGGGTTGGAAACCATGTATTTGTGCGTTCACTCACATTTCCCTAAATCTACCCCTTAGCATACAGATATAGGGATGATTAAACTTTCTGATTTCTACTGTTGAAATTAGGGCAAGCTGAGAGACAAGTTGAGGTTAGCATTCACCATTCCAACAATCTTGATCCACATTTTTATGTCCTCACAGTTCTTGGCAATAGGGAAGCTGTGATTTTGACTGCAAGATAATCACAGAGTGAGTAGAGATTAAAGTCCTCTTCCTTCTACTTCAGCAATCCCAATCAATGTAGTTTTTCTGGCACTTGAACAATGGTATTTTCTCTATTAACTCTCTGATAGTTAATCTGTTGGGCTGTGGAGAAAAATGCATAGGGCTCCTTGGAGTTGCAGCAAGTCACATAGAGAGTGGCTGTGGTTTACTCATCATATGCATCCTGAAGCACAGAGTGCTGTTCAGAGCAAACATTTGCTGGATACTCTTTCTCTCTCTTTGTCTTGCCCTCACCCTACCCCTTTCAAGTTTTTTTTCTTTTTTTCAGGTTTGTACAGGAGCATTATTTTTACAGTTTTGTACAGGAGCATTATTTTTACAGTTTACTGTATTTTATATATTGGGATAGCTAGATTGAATGAATGAGAAAAGCATTTGGGCTTGTTCCATACTTAATTTATGAATAAGTAGGGTTAGCTATCATGTAGCCTATGAAATATTATTGGATGTGGTTCCTAGAAATACATAACTATATCAGTCAATGTTGAAGAATGCTGAGAGTTGCAGTGCAGCAACATTGGGGAGTGCTCTAGAGTCTCCAGTCTATCTAACTCTTCTGTCACCAGGAGCAGTTAGTTGGAACATATCAACACTAGGCATTTCCATTTTTCTTTGCTTATCGTATTGTTGCTATTCCTTTGGAAGTTAAGAGGAAAACAACTGTGCTACAGGCTCTAGGAACCAATAACTTTGAAAATACATTGGGCTATCCTAAACCGGGGGATCCAGATCCATGATTTCCAGCTGTTACAGGTTGTTGCACCCCATATTAGAAATGGGTGTCAACATAGAATCTTAACATGTGGGTCCCCAGATATTTTGTCCTTCAACTCCCAGAAATCCTAACAGCTAGTAAATTGGCTGGAATTTCTGGGAGTTGTAGGCCAAAACACCTGGGGACCCACAGGTTGAGAAACACTAGCTTAGCATGTATATATTGTCTTAAAAGATGGAATTCCATCTTATCTTGGAAGTTAAGCAGGACCAGATCTGGTTAGTACTTGGATGGGAGGGTGCTAAAAATACCAGGTGCTATAGGCTGTTTTTTAGTTCTGCCTTGAGCTTATACACCAGGAGAAAGACTAGATAAAAGTAAATATGGTAACGAGACCACTATCAACTCCAAATAAACACTTTTGTGTTGACATTCTTTCATAACATGTTAGCTATATTGGAATTACTGTCAGGTGTCCACATTCACTGAAGTTATGAGCACAGGATTCCTGTGAAAATGAAAACTGAATAAAATATTGTACCTTTCTAGGAATCTCTTCTAAACCCTTCCATGTGATTCTGGTCGACTTTCAGTGGATGTTGACCATATTGTCACATTAAAGGACCTTTTTTAAAAAAAACAAACAAACCAACAA